AGCGTGCCCTGTTTCCAGCCCCTCCCCCCAGGGGCCTTCAGCGCGTCCTTTGTCCTGCGACGCCAACCCCTGGGGACGGACTGGACCCTGGGGAAGGACCACCAGGGCAATCCAAGTTTCCCCAGCTGGGGGGTGTGGCCCAGGGGGCAGAGGGGAAACTGAGGCCGGGAAAGAGGATGTGGTCGGGTTTCAGGGATGGGAGGCCGGGTCGTACAGGGAGGTCTGGGGCATGGGTAGCAGGCACTGGTTGACTGAGGCCCCCAAGCCTCGATGATCCGGAAACCCTCAGACTGTGGGGCCAGCCAAGGAGTTTCCATTGGGGCAGGGGCTTGCACTTCCTCCCAGAGAGAGAGAATTCATGGAAGAAGGAGAGACCTCGCCTGACCGCCCCTACACCTGCCCTTGCGCCCTTCTCTGGACAGTTCACGATTCTGCAGGCCCAAACTGAGATTCTCTCACTGAGTCTGGAGCTGGGCTCTGGAAGGAACAGCCTCCAACTTTCCCTTGGGCATTACAGTGGAGGGGGGAGTCCATGGGAACTGGAAGAAGACAGGGAGGTTGTCCCTGCCTGGAGTCAGCACGAGCAGGACCAGGGCCAGGTCCCGCCAGTGGAGTCCTTGCAGAGAGAGCAGAGGCAAGGGTGAGGGCTCAAGGGGCCCAGGAGCAGAGGAGGTGCAGGTCCTAGGGGGACAGGGGTGTTGTGCCCCCTCATGGCCTCTTGTTCCATTGCAGACGGAGACCCTCCTGCTGCAGGCCGAGCGCCGTGCCCTGTGTGCCTGCTGGCCTGCTGGGCGCTGAAGACACGTGCCAGCGCCCTGCCTGTCAATAAACGCCTGCTAACACACCTGTGTCCTGTCTCCGTGCTCTGGCTGCCGGAACCCTGACGTCGCCCCAGGAGCCCCTGATTGGGCCCCTGGTTCCCCCAGCTGTGCCTCACTGGTGGGCCCTTTTGGCCCCATCTCATACCGGCGCTGCTGAGAGGTGGACAGGCACATCTGTCCACAACAGGACCCGTGCACAGCACAGCAAGCCCACCCGGGACCTGCTCCCTGCCTGCCCACCTTTGGTTCTCCAGGACTGAGTCCCCGAAAAGCTCCTCTGCGTGGAGTGGCGACACAGCCTGAGAGCACAGTCTTGGGAGGGAGGGCTGGGTCTGCCCCCCACAGCCTCAGCTCCACCTGTGCCCTCCTCACCTGCGGCCCTGAGCTTAGCTGTGGCACCAAGGACCCCTGACTGTGCACATGGTACCCAGCAGGGGACCTCCAGGTGAAGCGGGCAACACCCCCCTTCCTTTATTCATTCTGTAAATGTTTCTTAAAGTAAAATAGAGCCTTTGATCAGGTGGGCACACCGTTGGAAACAAAATCCCACTGCACGGTTGGGCTAGGGCCGGAAGTGGCCATCACTCACCCGATGCCGGACACTTGGCCTCTCTGGGCTTTCAGTCCCTGGTTGTCGCTGCCTGGTGCAGCATGCTTCTGTCTGGGGTGGGTGGGACTGCACGGCCCACCTTAGCTCACAAGGGCCTGCCTCTGGCTGTCGCTGGTGAGTGCTGTTGCCCCTGCTGACTGCCTTTGCACCGTGCCTGTGGATTCCCTTGGGTCCACTGCAGGTTCCTGCCCTTCCACCCCCTCCCTCCATCCCCACCAGCCTCCAGACTTCTGACTCATCCTGGCACCTGGTGTGCAGCCTCCATGGGCCAGCAGGTGCTTGCTCCATGGTGAGCAGTGCTCCTGCCAGAGAGGCTTGAGGGGGTTCTGAGGTCACGGCTGGCCTCAAGTCTGGGGTCGGGTGGGGTGCAGTGCAGGAACCAGCTCCTCTGTCCTAGGCCCAGCAGCGTCCGGACAGAGTGGGGTCAGGGGTGTCCCTTTGAGGGCATGGCCCGGGTAGCGCCCAATTCCCAGTGGTCAGCCTTAACCACATAGCCGTTTCTAGCTGCAAGGGAGGCTGGTAATGTAGCCTTTGTTTTATGCTTGGGTTGCCAGATTTAGCAAACCAAACATGGGAACAACAGAGTACATTTTCAGTGTATGCCCCATGCAATATTTGGGATGTATTTAAACTCAAACTTTTTTATCCAAAGTTAAAATATAACTAGGTGTACTGTATTTTATGGGCAGCTGTAAGGCAAATTGGGGTTTCTGTTCCTATAAAGATGTGGTCAGTCAAGAGTGCTTGTTTTAGTAGCTGTTTAGAGGGTACCCTTTGGGAGGCGGTCTAGGGGTAAGCAGCTTGCTGGAGAGCACCTTCTCTGAGCTTGGTGGGGTTTGGGTCGATGACAGGGTCTAATGACTGAACAAGACGTTTTTGGAACTGGACCTGCTGGGTGAGGACAGTTGCCTGTGAGAAGGTGACTTCAGGAGGACTCATGGCCCAGGCACTGGCAGCAGGGGAGTGTGAGGTGGTTGGATTCCAGCGGTATTTGAAAGTGGATCCAGGGGGATTTGAGTAGAGGGTTTAGGGGCAGGAGCCGGCAAGGGAGGGAGTGGGGTGAAGGGGAGGGGTGGACAGTGAGGTCCAGGAGGTCACTGGGTGGGCACACCTGGAAAGGGAGCTAGAGAGAGAAGGTTGGGACTCCTATGACCTGAGTGTGGACAGAGGAGAAATGAGGGAACCCTGGGGGAGACAGCATCTGTGAAGTGGAAATCAAGGTTGTGCCCCAGGTGGTGGCCAAGGGCGTCAGGAAGAAAGGGGGGTCAATGTATCACATGTTAATAAGGTCAGGCAAGGCCCAAGACTGGATCACGGGGTCCCTGGCAGGGTGCTCTGCGAGGAGCAGGAGTGGAGAACTGGCACAGATGGCTCGTGAAGGGGTTTGGCCCTAGTGTGGCCAAGGCCAAGGCAACCACACTCTGTCTTGGAGGCAAGATATGACCTTCCTGCTGTCTGGGCGTCCTCAGCCAGAGTCATCGAGAGTCTATGAGGTCACAGCCTCACAGTGAACTGGGACTGCCTCTCTTCCGGGGACACCTTTGCTCTTCCTGGACTCAATGTCTGTCTCATCTTCCCTCACCACCTGCCTCTGTCAATCCACACATGGGGGAGGAAACTGACAGCAGGCTTTGTGGGAGCAGCGGGCTCTAGACCACCCTCCACCCAGACCTTCCAGGTGGCTGCTTCTGGGGGCCAGCCCTTCCAAGCTGAGTGTGGCTGCCCTGTCCCCACTCCCAGACTTGTCTGGCACATCCTGACTCCTATGGGGTGGGAGCTTGGGGATGGACCATCATGGCCACTGGGGGAGGGTCACATGGTCATGGGGGCTTTGGAAAACTTGTGGGGGGCTGGAAGGCAAGGTCAGGCAGCTGGAGGGAGGGACCTCTGCAGAGGCAGAACCAAGACTCCCTCCAAAGTCACTGAGTGGGAGACCAGTCCCCTGCCTCTGTCCTTGGGACTGGATGTGGGGGGCAGATCAGGGGTGACCTCAGGCCTGGTCATGGGGGGAGGTGGGGTAGATAGGGCCAGCCGAGGCTGTGACCCTGTAGTGGCTGGACCACTCTACTCTGAGGTCACCTGAGGCCTTGGGGCCCTTCACACCCAAGTCTGGAGGTAGGGGCGAGGACACTAGGTAGGAGTTCCTGACAGAGGCCTTGGCCTGTCCCCTTTCCTGGCTCCCAGGAACACAATAGCATACTCCCCAGTCTCTACTCTGAAGCTCAAAGCCCACATTCAAAGCCCTGCCTCCCCTTCCTCCAGGCCCCACTCGTCTCAAGTGCCTGTTGTTTCCTGTCTGGACCCCTCATGCTGCCCCCCTGCTGGACACTCTTCCTGCTGTCCACCTGGCCAACTCCAGGACACTGCAGAGCTGCCACTGTGGCAGGTCAAGGGGTCTTAGCTTCTTGGCATGGCGTGGAGGGCTTGTTGAGTGATCAGTGAGCTCCTTCGAGATTTCCCATGATTCCACACTGCTCTCCTGGAAGGCATCAATCTCAAAGGTGCCTCCCAGATTGCAGTCCCCAAACTTGGCCCCATTCAAGTCTCTACTTATTTTGCCTCAGTTGATGTATCTGGCCTACGTCAGCAGAATTCCGAGCGAGCCCCTTCCCTGACCACCTGCACGCCCTCTAGGACTTGGTGGGCAACACTAGCCCCTGTGTTCCACCAGCTCCAGGGGTTTCACTGGCTGTAGGAGGGCGAATTCCCCTGAAGTCGGACCTCCCTGTTCTTCTCAGTTGAGGCTGAGATGTTATTGGGTTGTTTTTCCAATCTCTCTTTCCTATAAGAGTTAGGGCTGCTGTCTCTGTCTTTGGACAAGAGATTCTGGGAAGAGCCCTGCAGAGCCTTTTTGACCTCTGGCCCAGGGCCAGAGGTTGGGTTCTGGCACTGGTGGTTTTACTTCCTGTGATATAAACTTACACAGCATGTTTTTAAAACTGTGACTTTCTTTTTTTTTGCTTGTAATTCAAACCTGTGTTTTCATGTGTGACCAGTTCCTGTTAGGTCCAAACCAAAAAATGCATGAACTTGGGTTCTCTTACCCCAAAGAGGAGGCAACTGCGTCTCTGACCCATTCAAGTGCTGTAGGTTTTGCAGAGGTCGCAGGACTGTTGACTTGGACGTGAAGTGGCCTCATGGGTCATTCCTCACCAGAAGAATATTCATGGGACTCTCGTTCAACTGAAAAGGCTGCACTAAGGGATGGGACACTGATACCCTGAGCACCTGACTGCTCTCCTGCAGGTTAGAGGCATCTGACACATAGGAGGGTGATTCCAAACTCTTGGGTGACACCTTGAGGGGGACGCTTACAAGCAGCACATTTCCACCCAAAACACATTTCTGGCCTTGGTCACATTTGAAAAGTTCCTAAATTAAGGAAAATCAAGCTTCAAAACCTGAGCCCTCCTCCCGGAGGACAGCCTCCCTCAGAAACACCGGTTGGTTTTATGTGTAACACGAACGAGGCGTCCTCCTGTAAACAGCCAGGAAAATGGACCCGCATAGCCTGGTTGGTCACAAGTATGGTCAGAAGTTGATCATAATGCAGAAATGAAGGATCTTTGAAATGGCTAAAATAATTAATTTCTGTGCACAATTCGAAAAAGTTGGCTTGAGAACCAGAAAAATTGAAAGGGAGACCTACTTTCTGTTTTCCCTGACCGAAATCTGATAAGAGGTTTGAAAAGATTTTTTTTTAAAGCTTTATGGTCAGAAGTCAGCCAAATTTCATATATACATATTTTAAAAGACTTTTTAGATTTTTGCTCTTTGGATCCTGTTTCTGGGAATTATTTTCAGTCAACTGAAACTCCCTTTTGCACATTTGGTCCCTTCGTTTGCTTCCTATCTTGGCCTGATTTTGCTAAGAAAAATGCAAAACTGCGCTGGCCTTTTAGGAAGCCTAAAACCTCTCCAAATGGGCTCCTCTAAGTCCTATTCTTCTGTTTCCTCCCACATCTGCTCCTCCTTCCTGTGCCATCACCACAGAGGAGACTGCTAGCAACCGAGCCTTCCTGAGGAAGAAGACGGCCCTGCACACCCTACCTGCTGGCTTCTTCATGGGTTCCAAGAGCAGGTTCTTCTCAGGTCTAAAGCTCTGCTCTTTTATTGTTGTAACCAGATCTCTCTAGATTACTTTCACACTGTGAGAACTTGTTCCGTGTGTGTGTGTGTGTGTGTGTGTGTGTGTGTGTGTGTGTGTGTGTGAGAGAGAGAGAGAGAGATGGCCAGTAGGCCACTGGTGAGAGCTGCAGTTGTGGAAGTGGCTGACAGAGGCTGCAGGGGGTGTGTTTCTTTGGGCATTTCAATAAGAAAGGCACAGCTGGAACACTTGCTACCAAGTGATAAAACTCTTGTAGGGGACAGGCTGATCACAGAGTGGGCTGGCTGGCGTTAAGCCATCCACCA